TTTCTTCTTTCCTTCCTTCCTTCCTCCTCTCCTTTCCCTTCTCTCCTTCCCCTTCCTCCCCTTTACCCTTATGTATTGACTTCTACCACGTTCTTCATCTTTATTTCAAGAGTAGTATTTTAATGAAATGCAAATAAAGAAACAAACCATCGGTAATGTAAGTCAACAGCATCGTGAGAAAAACATTTATTCCAATATATACACTTTACCTTCCTGACATTTTCAATTAATTCTGGTGCTTGGGTTGGATCACCAGGGCCTCCAGAAATGAAAAGTCCGTCATAGTCCATTGAGGTGAAATCATGATTCCAAGGTACTAAATGAACTTCAGCACCTCTCTGATAACAAAAGAGGATAGACGGCATCAAAGGTTGTTAGGCAATTAACTAGATTATATGCAATGCAACTAATAGGATACATTCTTGAGTCGGAATATGAGAAAAACCCATTCCAAATATAGCCCACTTAGATTTGGTTGGTTGCAAACAAATGGAAAAAGGAGTTTTATCTATTCTTAATCACTGTGGTTGTCTCTGAAAATGAAGTATAAATAATTGAATGTAATATTCACTTTTAGAGATAGCCACAGTATTAAATAATATCCCAGTACTACAGCATTTCTCTATAAAGAATTATTAATTGTACACTAGAGGTAGAGGTTACAATATCTATATACAAAGGGGTAGTTCTTGCTTAATATGGGTTTAATATATATATTTAATTGTTCTCAAATAAAGGCAGTCCTCATGTAGTGACCACAATTGGGACTGGCAATCCAGCCATTAGGCACTTAGCCAGTAACTAAGTGAAACTGTGACTGTGCTCATGATTTTACTCCAGTTTTCCTTTGCTTTGCAGGTCTGCAAAGGTCATCAATAAGAGGATTGGTATCAAAGTTGATTTTGAAACCAAAGTCTGGTTCCATCACCATTGTAACTGCAGTCACCTGTCTAAGGCATTTGCTGAACAAGGTCTAGCTTTAATGTATTTAAAATAAAGTCTTTAAAATAAATTTGCAAGGTTGTTTTCAGGATAAAATAAAGTGAAAACACATTGTACATAAGTATGAGCCCCTCCGATAAGTGGATCACATCTCTGGAGTGGTCACAGTTGTTGGCTTTTTCAATATGGTAGTCCATCATGAGAAGAAGCCTTTCCCTCCCCATAAATGTGTGCATATGCACATGCAAATACACACACATTCAAACAACTCCAATAAGAATTGAATGTGTTGGAGGAGGAGCCTATGTCACTATAAAATGGTCACCCAATTTCGATGCTCCGAGATCGCCACCAATACTTTTCTCGCTGGGTAGTCCAATCGGACCTAAACCGTCCCGNCTTCTGTTTCCCACTCTTCCTCTCATTGGTGTATTTCCACTTCTGAGCAAACTCCAATCTAATGTGATTCTTGTGGTGACTTTGTTAACCAAAGGGCAAGAACACCACACTTCACATCTGAGAACTTTCCCATGTTTCTTTTGAAATAAATTGTTGAAAGGAATTTTTATTTCAATAAGTTGAATGAGAAATAGTCCTGTAGAATAAATATTTGGGAACACTGCAGCAGAGCATTATATTTAATCATATTTTGAAGGCCAGAAATTCTACTGTTTGCTATTGCTCTGCAGGAAAAAATGTTAAACCTAAAATAAAATTATTTCTTCAAATTATACTCTGGTCATTCAGTGTCTTTGTTACTTCCCCCCCACCCTTCAAGGCCAACACAATTAACCACAATAACTTTCAAATAACCCAGATTTCAGTGATGTAACACAAGGAAACTGCACAAGATCCATGAAATGGGCTTCTGAAATCATAGCAACTTCTTCACTAGATGTCTATTACGTGATTATTTGCTTTTTGGAAAATAATGAAGGGCCAATTGTTGCTATGGCTACTGCACTAATGGAAAGGGTAACCACAAATGCTACAGGGTAGAAGTTACTGAGTAAAATTGAGATTTTTGGCAAATGGGACTTGTCCCTAAGTAAAACATATATTATAAAATAAAAAGCGTTGTTCAAATTCTGCAATTTTTAAGTGCTCCTGGAACCCTTGTTCTGCCCCTGCAGAGCTGTCATATGCTACTAGTTCTGTCCTCCAGCAGGTCTGTCCACTCTACTCTTACAACAGGGAGAGAGTTTTGACAGAGTGTTTCAGGAGTTTCTGTCTCGCCAGTAAAAGATTGCCCTTATTTAACCACCTCTTGCTCAGCCACTATCAAAATTTACAATGGCGTTTAATGAGGAGGCTTACAGTGGTTCCTTTGCAGTAGTGGGTTTCAAAAAATTTTGGAACCTACCCTGTGGGTGTGGCCTCCTTTGTGGGAGTGGCTTGCCACCCATGTGACCTGGTGGTTAAATAAGGGGAAGGTTTTACGGGCGAGACAGAAACGCCCGAA